ACTCTTAAGCAGGACTTAGAGAAAGTGATTGGATTATGGGGCACTATAGCTGACTTGCTGTTAGGAGGCAGGGTCTGGTTGGAAGACACAGGTAACTGGGAGTATGACCTGGCAAAGCAAATCTCCCTCCCCAGCTCCTCCTTTCTCTTTCTGCTTTCCAGACACATCATGAGGTGAGCACTTGTCTGCTTGCACCCTTCCACCATGCCTTCCTCCCTTGGAGCCAGCCAATTGTGAACTACAAACATGATCCAAGGTAAATCTTTCTGTCTTTAAGTTGTGTTTGGTATTGTGCCTCAGGGACCAGAAAGTGACAATAACAATCTGTAACAAATGCTGTTCTAATACAAGAGGCTAAACTTACATACTTTGGTAGGATGGAGAGCTATGTGATGTTGCTAATATAAGTGAGCTTTCAAGGAATGGGAAGAAAGTCTTCTTGTCAGAATATATGACAAACACATGAGACTGACTGACCACATGAGAGCCGCAGAGGTGCTGCATAAGTCTATTAAATTAAAATGTACTGCTCAGAAGGCTCACCAGCAAACACTGGAATACCAAGGGGATGTCTGGGGCTTACACTGCCATAGACCAGTAGTGGTTAAAAAAAGAGAGACAGAGAGAAAAAGCAAAGAGAAACTAGATAAATAAAGTACACTCCCACCCACTCTCCTTTTCCGAGCTGTACACTGAGAATAACAGTTACTGTGTTATATTTTAATATTCCTGAACCCAGTACTTCACAAGACTCTGACAATGTCAAGACCCTGACAATGTCAAGACCTCATCTCAGAGTTTTAACAAGCATCAAGCAGTCATATTCTTCTTATAATCATGGTCTTGAGTGGCTGGGTATGGAGGAAATTGTAGGGAACTCCAGAATGCCTACCACATGGACATTCCCAGCTGGAATGAGGTTACTAGCATTGAGAACGAGCCCAGTCTCCCTCACTCTGCCATTACTGCACTACTTTAAGGGAGGAAATGCTACTTTGCAAAGTTGACTAGTACTCCTTCAAGAAATCCTTAGGAAACTTTAGCAGACTTTCAGAAAAGTTGTGCCTTTGAAGTAGTGTCAATTTATATTTAGGACTAGTTGCTGAAGAAATTAAGCAAATGTAACCAAAACGCAGCTCTCAACAGTAGACTGAAAACATGAACCAAAGTAAACCTCTCCTCCTTTAAATTGGGGGTGTCAGGTATCCTCAGCCACAAGAAAGTAATTAAGACACTAGTGAAACATCAATGGGGCCCTGATTTCAGAAGAGTAAGTTTTCCAGCAACCCTGCATTAGTTGTGTGGAGAGTGAGTTGTTTTAAGAATCTTAAGGCTGACCCTAAATACTTTCTAGATTCTCATCTTGCAGTGTGATCTACTGCTCTCACATGAACTCCCACCAAGCCTTCACCAGAGTCCAGCAGAAACAATCCTTGCCCTTGAACCTCTGGAATTAAGAGATAAATGCAAAAGGCTAAATGTTTCCAAATGAACTTATTCAGCTTCAGATATTTTTTACAGTAAGAAAAAAACTAATGTTTCTACATTTTCTTTTATACTTCTTTCCCTATCCTCACTTTCAAAAAGCTGGATAAAGAAGTCAGTCAATCGTTTTGCTGCTATATACATCCATTTCAAGCAGATGACTTCTGTGTATAGGAGCAGACAGAGAATCTTACATTAGCAATTCAAAAGCAGGTACCATATATTCATAGAGACAAACTGGAATAGACGATACCAGGGGCTGGTAGGAGCAAGGAAGGAATGGATAGTCATACTTTAGTGGGTGTGGTTTCTATGTTCTGGAAATGGATAGTGGTTAGGACTGCACAACATTGTGGAGGTACTTAGTGCCAATGAATTGTATACTTAAAAAATGATTAAAATGGTTAACTTCTGTTTAAGTATAATTGCAAAACAAAAAAACAGATGCAGCACATTTTTTTTCAGACATGACCAATTTATTCAGATAATTCAAATTTCATTTGGCAAAGTATATCCAAGGGCAGAGTTTGAGATAATTATATCCTTAGAAGCAATCACGTTTTCTAGTTAGGTGATTATAACATAAAGAAAGAAAAGCAAAACTTTTAAAAAATACATGTGTGAGGGGGTGATCATCATAAATATTTTCTTAAGAAACAAACAACCAGCTCGTGACAAATGAAGTGTGAGACATGGTAACAGTACGTAGTAAGTTTTAACTGAATTTGCTTCTACACTAAGCACCTATTTTATGCAAAACACTGGACTAGATGTTGAAGTGAAAGCATAAGTCACCAAGGTGCAATCTTTCAAGTTTACAGTCTAATAACAATGCATATAAAAATGGTGCAATACAAAAGAAAAGTGTTGTACAAAAGAAAAATAAAGGCACTAAAGCCATGAAAGGAAGCAATTTACTTCGTAGTAAAGGGTGGAATTGGGACCCACTAAATTTGATGGTACGGGTTAAGCAGGTGATAACACAGTAATAAAAGTGGTGGTAAACTATCTCCACAAAAGGAGAGTGTAGCTCATCCATGGCTTTAAAAAGTGTGAAAAGGAAAGGAGTACTCAAAGATAAAAAAAAGTCTTTTTAATTTCTCTCATTATTGTTAATCCAATTTGAGAAATGGATTAACAAAAGTGAACACAAAACAAAAAGCAGGAAAAGAGACAGAAAATACATCTCAAATTTCAGTATAAATCCAACCTGTGTATACTCATGTACTGTGGTTGTTCAAGTTAACACCATCAAAGGCCAAATGAGCCCTGGAAATGTAACTGTTTATCATGGCAGAACATGGATTCTTTTGTTAAGACTAAAAAGGACAGCATTAGCTGATAGGATATGTAAAAATTAAAAGTCAAAGCATATTCCCTCCTTAATACATGATCAAATATGCCAGATGAGATCATTTGAGGAGACATAAAATCTTTTTGTAAGTGAACTGATCTTACAATAACTTAGTGAGATTCTTTTCCTATTTAAAAAAATAGGAGCAAATCAGGAGCAAATCACTCCTGAATAAACATTGGTATGTAACTCAAAAAGAAATTTAATAGAACATACTAATAATCAATATCAGTTTCTGTGTCTGCAGCTTACACAAATTATGGTAATAATAATACTTCAGGGAACTCTTACAAACACAATATGTAACAGTACCTTTTAATATTTATTCATCATTCTTCTTAAGTTTGGCTTGTATTATCTCAAAGGAAAACTGGTAAGTTGTATTTTTCATAAAATTAATTCACTAACTTAAAATTTTAAAAAAGACCTTTACCAATGGTAAATTGGAATGTATATACCAGCCAAACTTTGATGAGATGAAAATAACGAAGTTACATAACCAATACTTCATAAAACCAAGAATCCTTCTAAGTACAGAATTTGATTCTTCCCCTCTCAGTAACAGCTGGTAAGACTTAGAATCTTTCCTCCTTAGGAACTATTATCTCACATAAAGTATTGTATTATTTAATGTTAATAAGCAATTGACATGCTATCATGAATAAAGAGCTATTTTTAAATCAAAATAACCTAGCAGACTAAAACAGATATATTAACACACTGAAATGGTTTATTTAAAAGTAAAATTCATAAAAATGTTACCTATCCTGGTCTTACATTAATTTAAAAATCAAGATGAAATATCATTTCAGACCTTTATATATCAAGATGCCAGTTCTTATAAAAATGTACTTTAGTTGTAAATGTTAATTATGTAAAAATAATTTCATATTAATTTTAATGAAGTTTCCTCAACTTTAATATTAAAAACATTTGAAGAACTTAAATTTTAATGGCCGAAGTTCCTATTTTTCCCATCTATTAAAAAAGGTTTTTTTTCCCTTATTAACATATAATGCCCTATTATTAAGGCACAACTTTTTAAGATGAAAATGGAACTATGTTTATTTTATACAATAGCTGTAAAACGGACTTTCTGTAGGCATATAATACAACTTAAATTCCACTAAGATCTAAAATGAAAAATCACTTTCAATCTAGAAGCAACTGTTACATAGCACAATAGGTAGTTGAAGCCAGAATCATCAAAACATTTGTTTTAACCTGTCAAACTGTCTCAGGCAGACCACCATCAATGTGGTATTCTAGAAAGGAAAGCTGAGTATTTTTTCTGCAGTGGCATGCTACCTTCTTTATGCTTGGGTCATGAGAGGTAGCTGTCACCTTTCACAGCCCAAGTGAAATCCAAATTTGAATTTAGCATCTGAAAAGGGGCAGAGCTGCTGATCCTAGGGTTCAGGGAAAATGCTAACTTTGCATCCTCCTTCAGCTACTCTTCCCCTGATCTCCCTTCCCATCTTCTTCTCAGCCATGACCCTGTACCATCTTCTCTGAAAGATTTACAAAATACTCAAAGAGAGCACCCAGAAAACAGAAAGTGATTACACAACTGGTGCTTAAAACATATAAACCAAAATGCTTTTATTTCATGATATATCATGAACAACTACTGCTGATTTAAAATCAAGAAACACTACAAACTGGTACTGGTGGTAGCAGGGACAAACACACTTCAAAGACAAAGATGACCATCTTATAGGCCATTGTGTACTCAAATGACATGGAGATGAAGGGATGAAAACCAACGGAAAGAGGTTTCCTCAGGCTTATCTATCCAATTCCTTCATATATTATTTATATTCTTGAGAGATGGGCAGGAAATTCTTCATGAAAAGAATTTAGTATGGGATTGGATCTGACTTATGTGCATGGATGTGACTTTAAAGGTGATTTTCCTATACTTTCTAGGGAGTCTTTGAAAAGTAGTGGTTAATTCAGCTTCCATCAGGACTGATCTCACTCACTGGGAACTTGACCACCACACCTAAGCTCTGCCATAAGATTTTAACAGCCAATCTTGAGATAATGATTACAAAGAATTTAGGGGTGATTGGTAGTGTGTGGGGGATTTAAACTGGCTATGAAGGAGGAGCCAAAATAAAAGAATATCAACCGGCAAAAGAGACAGGGAACAAGGCAGAGATGAAAAGGAAAAGAGGAGAGAATTACTGATGGTGGCTGAGGTTATTGATGTTACTGCTTCCAATATGATGCATAAAAACTCAGTTTTAAGTGAAAAATATCCTCTAAATAAACTGTTTTAAATGAAAAATATCCTCTAAATAAAGAGATGAAAGCAAGACCAGGAATTTGAGGAGGCAAGAGTCACTAAAAGCATACTGTACATGTTCTTCTATGTTTTAAAATTAATTTTATGTAATTTGAGGAGATATCACATGCCTCACTTATGAAAGTGTGTTACTAGTATGGTCTAGCACAATCATGTGTCATATAAATAAATATAAATACTGTTCCTTGTAATGTATAATGGCTCTTAGAAATAAAATTTTAAAAATGAACTTTCTATAAAAGTACTTACAAATAATTAGTAACTAGACTATACCCCCCAAATTATAAAAATAATGTATTTAATTCTCAGCCAGTATTTTGATTTTTGCATAAAACACACATCCTTCACATCCTGTTATGAAAAGTAATGATAATAACTCTTCAGAGGTCACAGCTGATCTGAGATAAAAATACTTTCTTAAAAATGAAATTAAAGCAACCACGCTTGCTAGTAGAGTGTTGCTTCTGCTAAATCAAAATTTTCTCATAGTATTTTTAAACTCTAATAAATTCCATTTATTTGTGAGCTCCATTTCCTTTTGTATTATAATTAAAACAAATGCTTATACCACAGGTTTTTGATAACAGTATATGCCTTTGTCTTCTTTCCTGAGAAAAAGGATTTTGAAGTAAAATGATGAAGTCTTATATTCTTTTCAAAATTCCCAAGTTCTCTTTTAAATACCAAGTGTTCCAACTACTAGAACTTTATAAATGAACTTTCTCTGAACAAAATCCTACCTAGTGCATTTGTGACCAGGTGCTAGAAACTGAATGGAAACATTTGGGGCATACTAGATTCAGCTCACAAATGAGGAGTTAAAGGGCCTTAGAGACTGTAACATGCAAAACTAAATAAAGTATGCACTGCTATCAGGCTAGTTTGTACATTCTTTGTCCTATATTACCTTGAAGATAGGACATAAATAGCTATCTTAGGGTTAAAATTTTTTTAAAGGAAAGAAAAAAACCCTATTAGTGTTAGAGAATACAAAGGCAATGAAGCCACATGAAATAAGAGTACTGTATGTTTACATGACGTTTCTAGATATTACAATGAGAAATACCACCAGTTCCAGTAAAAGCCCATGAAAAAAGGTTGTTGTTAAGGCAACACAATGAATGCATCACAACTTTTTTCCAACCAGTTTCTGCTAAACAAAAAAAAAATTCATTAAGAAGTAAGTCTGAGACTGTGGATATACTTCATCAGCAAAGCACTTGCCTAACAACACTGATTATTTGGGATCTATCCCCAGCACCACAATGAAAAAAAAAAAAACTTTAATTTTTATTATTATAAGCTGATGGGAAACTACAGAATATCTCTAAAGTCACTACTTTGAGAGTTTGTTTAAGTTAGATATAATTATTAACAGTAAAAGCAACCACAGCAAAAGCAACTGTACTCATTCTTGATATTGAGAGATTCTTGATATACAAACCTGGTAAATCTTTTAAAACTTATAAAACAAAGTTCCTGAAAATAATAAAAACAAACGCAAACCATGTTGTGTCAAGTAACTTTCAATTAGAGTCATGTCTAGTCTTACAGTGCCTTACAGTATATTATTTCCCTAATGAGAAAATGTACCAAAACTGTAAATACTAACCCAGAAACCTAAAACCAGACCATACGAGTTAAGAATTAAATGCTGATCAGGAGGGAAAGGATGGCACCATGCATTTTCCACAGGTAAAATAAAATGAACAGTAACATGGCAGAAATGCAGAACCTATGAGTACAAACACTTCTCTTTATAAAGACAAAACAAAGCAAAACACACACAAGGGAACATTACAAATACAATGAAACTATTATTTGTCTATATATCTACTAGCTGGTGAACCTGTTATTAAAATTTCAAAGAAAAATATCAACTTAAACTTTTTCTAGTTTAATCCATAGAAATATTCAGTAACATGAATACAGCGTTTGTTACATAATAATGAATATGTGGTTTCTTGTGCTTTCTATCTTAACTAGGAATAAAAATCCCCAATTTATTTTCAATGATATAACTGTAAAATTAAATTAAACATTTATACATAACCTTTCCTTCAACTCAGTTCTATATGAAAATATTGACAAAGAGTAAAGATTCATGATGTGTGAAAATGGTGAATGATATACCAATGTAGACTCAGCTATAGATTTTAATTCACAAATATATATATGCGCCTTGTATATGACAACTGTATGAAAATAGTCTCAAAAATAAAGACAATACTTGAGACATGAAGCAACCCATTTTCCCTGATCTTGCATCCTATCAGAGGGAAAATACAGTCTCTGATGCTTCATAAATACTTTAAAAAGTTTGAGATGGCCGTGACCATGCATAGTCTCCACCAATCCTTTGAAGCTTCCAGATTTCAGGCTAACCATTTCAGCTCTGGAAGTTGCACTCTGTAATCAATTATGCTTATTTATGTCCTGTCTTTTCTAGATCTGGGAGTTTTCTGACCAGAGACTGGTGATTCATTCTGATGCTAGCAAGGAGTCCACCTTCAATGCCATCTGATCCGGTGTAACTGATTTCTTCACCACTCAGGGTGGTCATATGTCCCCCAAGGGCTTTCAAGATGGCATTTCCAGCACATATATCCCACTTTTTAATGTATGTCACATGGATATATAGATCAGCTTTTTCTTGGCTCTTATCAAGCACATCTAAGAGTGCTAAAACTTTATAACCTAAAAGATAAACACAGAATTTAGATTATTGCTAAAAAGATTTTAAGAAAGCAGCAGAGTACATTTTTTTATTAAATACATGGTTGAAAAGAATAAGACAGGGTATTCAGGAGCTCGCTGTACTGTCTATGTAATGTGTGTGGGAAATCTAAAATTTTATTCAAATAATACTTTTACATGAAATGTGAACATTAAGGAGCAAAACTATATTACAAAATAGTTTATAAAGGCAGTCTCAAGTATAACCAAACGTATACCTATTAATTTTTTAAATCTTCATTGTGGTTGTTTATTTATTAGAGTGACATATGCAGTATGTGTCATCTGTTATGGAATGACATACTGTACCGAAGCTAAAGAACTGTATGTTTCACTTCAGCACTGGGGTAGACCTCATTTGAAAGAACAAAAACTAATGCTATCACGTTAAATCCTTTCTGTAAAAAGGAAGAATTTAAGGAATAAAAAAATAAAACTGATGCAGAATGGATGTAAAATCTAGTTTAATTCATCTCTACTGGGTATTTTGGACACTACCTTTCCTAACCAACCTAAAAGCACCTGTAAGTAAATATTAAGGAAGGTATATGCAATAAGCAAATTAAAATTATAAGCTTTTAAGTAATTTCTTTATATTATAAGCTTAAGCATTACTTCTTCCTCTACTAATGTACTAGAAAGATATTCCAACATGAAGATTTTCTGATTATAATTTGCTAAATTAAAACTTTGGACATGTTAAACAGCACTCATAACAGTAGTCATCAAATGGCCTCTCAAGCCGAAAGCAGATCATGGTCTGCTTTTGTGATATCTCAAAATAAGAATTTTTTATAAAACCTTTTCAATAGGTGGTTTAAAAATTACAGTGGTATGCAACAGAGACTTTGTGTGGCTTCCAATGTCTGAAATATTTACTATCTGACCTTTTTCAGAAAAAGTGGGCTAACCTTTGATTTATAATCAGGTGATAAAACAGTATGAAAACACAGCAAGCTGGGTGGGCACAAGAATTTTTGTTCACTCCAAACATACTAGGTAATACCTAGGAAGACTCCTGGCTTCCTTCTGCTGTATGAAATATCTTACATGCTTGATCTTTCATCCTGTCCCTGATAAATTAAGGGACAATTATTTTGAAGTCAGAACATATAAAAAGCAACCACTGATGGTACAGGACTGATGGGAAGGTGCCTTTGAAGTATTTGAGAAAGAGAAACCACTATTGTGAGACTGTTTCTTTCTGGCACAACCAATGCCACTGAATGGAGATTACCAAGTAGGAGACTGAATCTGCCTTGAAAACACATTGCTCCTTTTCACTTTTTTGCCAAGCATGGGACAAACAAATCAGTCTCCTGATATAGGATGCCCATGGTGGAAACACTCACTGGGGTTACAAGGGAGGGGAACATACCAGCACCACCAGCCGGGATGATTGTAGTCTGGTTTCCAAAGGTCTGAAGAGCAATCTGTTTGACCATCCCTGCATGGGAGCGAGATACAATGATCCTTGGAGTCTTCTCATTGTAAGAAGAGCGGGGTTTCACACTTGAACCACCATCTACCATTGCCCAAGCTGAAAAGCAAATACATATTAATAGCCAAGAAGCTTTAGAAAAACAAGTTATACTCTTTAGAATTCAAGGTACCAAGTGACTGAAGAAAATGTATTCCTCTACAGATTATCTGAATGTCTTCCCCAAAGGAGAATGCTTTATTTCTTTTCCTACAAATGTAACATTTTAAAAATAGTGAAATAGGCAGACAAAGCTGAAAAAAGGCAACACAATCCTGCAGAGACAGAGAGAAGCTATTAAGCATTTGGCTTAAGAACTCCCGTGCTTCAGAGTTTTCCTGAGGTCATGGGTGAGCCTCCACTGGGACTGCTCTGCATTCTGACTTCTCTCTGCATTTACCACACTTCTTTCCTTTCCTAAATAAATCTGATCCAATACACTCCCCAATAAACTTCCTGCATGCTAATCTCTCAAAGTCTGAATCCTGGGGAACCCAATCTGTGAGATAATCTTAACTTTCAGGGGTACCTCAAATTTTAAAATTGATTTTTCTTCTATACCTTCTCTACTTCTGATATATTCATGGTTTTATTTACATATTGGCTCAATTTCCTAAGTAACTTTATAAACAGAAAATAAAAATGTGAGTTAACATTACATGTCAATTTTATTTTTTGGTACCAGGGATTGAACACGGGTCCTTGCACTTGTAAGGCAGGCCACTGAACCACTGAGCTAAATCCCTGGCCTACATGTCTATTTTAAAAGGGAGAATAAAAAGAAAAAAGCCTTAGATTTCAATGTGAAAAGCATTTTAAAGAGGAAGACGATCCCAGGAATGGCTCGAGATGTTTTTCTTGGTTTGTAAGTTTTCTTCACTGCCAAACAAGCTATACAAGATAACATACTTACTTAATAATACCAATTAAATTGTTGATCTAGCACTCAGTCGCTATGGGATATAGTCCACCATGGCTAACAACGAAATCTTTGAAACTGTATTTCCATAAAATTTCCCTGAAATAAAAAAGGACCTAAATCCCTATACTCACAGGTATTCTGAGTACTTGGAAATCTGCCCAGAACATAAATTCTGAAACATAATGGTTATAATATAAAGCTCTTTTGTATTTACTCCAAGTAAAAAAATAAGTCACTGACAAAGGAAAGAAAACCAGCACAGTACAATAGCCTTTTTGCCAACAATAATCAACATACATAGAAAAAGGCCCAGTTCAATAGTTTGTACAAGTTAATCAAGAAAAGGGTGGATTGAACAGTGTCATACCAAAATCCATGTTCACTTGGAAATTACAGAATGTGATCTGTACATGTAATTAGTTGAGATTATATAAGATTCCAGGGGACCTTAAATCAAATGACTGAAGTTCTTATATGAAGAGGAGAGACAGACAGAAGATACTACTGTATAAAGACAGAGGCAGAGATTAGAGTACTGCAGCAATGCATAACCAAAACTAAGGAATGCAAAGAATTTCTGGAGCCAAGAGAAGTCAAAGGAGAAAGAAAAGATTTTGTCCCCTACCCTGAATAGCATGGGCCTCCTGACTCCTTGTTATCATGTTTTTTGGCCTCTTAAACTGCAACAGAGTAAATTTCTGTTACTGTAAGCCCTAGCATGTGGTAATTTGTTATGACAGCCATTAGATACTACTACAGGACAGACCAAAGCTTTTATAACTAGTCAAGTAGTCTTTCAAGTACTGAGGCTGTAGAAAAGTTTTTAACATGTACTCAAGTAATATTAAACCCATGAGCTAGAAATAATCTATTAGAAAACAGGTTTTATCCAACCAAGGGATAACTGGGAAACCTTTAGCAAAAGCACTGTTTGCTAACTGAATACACGTAACAACTGATATGAAATGACATCAAAGATGGGAATAAAATGGAAGAATAAAGGTTGTGTAAATATTATAGCACAGATGACTGCTGGGAGTCAAAAGATAAGTCTGATAAGCTGAATAACAGTGTTTAAAAGTGAATATATAAAAAAGACATAACTATAATGGGATGATTGTCAAGTACAAAACTGAAAACAAGCTGAATTGTTTTTAGCATAGAATTGCCAAAAATTTCTAAAGAAAAGACTACATAATATTGTATACAGAAAAAAAAGGTACTATATTAGTAAAAGTGAGCAAGCAAAAAAAAGACAGTTAATTAAAAGTAGCATTTGTAGTTTTCTGAACCACACTGAACATGTAAGTCCATGAGATAAAAATTATTTTAAAAAGAGAAAGCCTACTCTTCCCTACCCTCTAATTTTTTTTTTTCCTATTTGGATGTAGTTTGTATTTTAATTGCTTATTCTGAAAATTGAGACATACAGGGAAAAAATGTTCAATTTGTCCTGCATTTCTAAAAGAAAATACATTTCATGGTAAGTCCAGCTGACAGAACACGTTCAACATGTGTAGAAAATACAAGAGATTTAGCAAGAAAATAAAAATAATTTTATAATTGAGAGTTCTCATCATGACCACTTTAACTATCTGAGCATCATTAATAGTGAGTCAAAGAGACACTGTCGTATTATGAGATAAATACCAAAAAGAGAACATTCTACAGAACAAATGAGCTGGTCTCAAGTCAATGCCATGGGAGTGAAGAGGAATGGAGGCTTGTTCTAGTTCAAGAAAATTAAACATAGCAACTTAACCAAAAAACATATCATTAACCAGATTTTGGTTTGAGGTAATCAGTTACTGGTACCATTATAATCTACTTTAGGAATAACTGGGGAAATATGATCAATTAGGGAATCATTGTTGCTTTTATTATTTAATAGTACTGTTATTCTGTGGAAAAATGTTCTTACAGATGTCCACTCAAGTATAGCTTTAAATGTTATGCTACTTAAAATTTTCCTTAATGTAATCAGGCAAAACAAACAAAAAAAATCTAGCAATATGTTAACTGTTAAATCTAGATGGAGTACATGAGTATTCATATAATTTTGTTTGAAATTATTCATAATAAAAGTAATAAAGCCACAAATTCTGTGTTCTTTTTATAAATGTCAAAAACAATTTTATTTCTTAGTGAACTTACAACGCCACATCTCTAGAGGTCAGTATTGGGTAAATAAATAAAAATAGTGTTTCTATGTAGATATCAGAATAATTTTGAATAAGAATTACCAATTCAGGATTATAACTCAATATGGCTACATGGATTATTTGTTACAATTATATGGACATATTTTTAAAAGTACAGTAGATACTTAAATACAAATGATTGATGAGGAGGTAATAGGGATAAGACACCAGCTATAGAGTATGTTTAATTTAGTGTAGCACCTCAGTTTACGAACTTAATTCTTTTCACAACTCTAGTTGCAGAATTTGTTTCACAATTCTGTTTGCAGTCAGAATCATGGAAAAAATTAAGTTCATGAACTAAGGTACCACTGTATTGGTGAGACAGGCCAAAAAGATCTCCAATTTTTGCTATCATGGGAACAATAATATCTAGTTCCTTTTATAATTAAATATAGCTAAATTCTGGTAAATCTATAATACTTTACAACTAACTCTCTGCCAACATCAATATACAGTCTGGGTCTGAAAATAACATTCCAAAAGGAAGGTACAGGGGAAATAAATCTTCCATGCAGAAACAGAAGGTCAATCACACTTCTGGACATTCTGATTCCTTCAATGTGTTTGCTAAATGGCAGGTACTTTTATGTTCCAGTACATTGGGCAAGTAATAAACTGCATCACAGAAGACTAGGAGATTTTATTGCTGTTATGGCTTGTACCCAGATGTACCCCCAAAGTCTCATGGAGTCATATAGGAGCTTTGTAGGGGTGGCTGGATCAAGGGTGTGTGAATTTAAATAATTTAATTTAATTAAAGGTATAATATGGGGATGAAGGGAGAGCGGTAATGGATTAATCCTCTAATTGGTCTATTAAACTTCTGGGTATGAGTAATGGGAAGCCTCACACTGGATTTGGCACCACCCAAAAGGCTTATAGCCTGGATGGGATAAAATGGAAAAAGAGGATTGCTGCGGCTGCTTGCTGCCTGCTCTGCAACGGACTGTTTTTCTTCTACAATGCCCATCTGCCATGTCACCCTGTCTTGGAGCCAGCTGACTTTGGACTGAAGCCTCTACAGATTGTAAACTAAAATAAAATTTTCCTCATTTAATTTGTGGTGCCTGGTATTTTGTCTCAGCGAGGAGAAAAGTAACTAAGATGTTAATTTTAAAAGACACTTTGTAAACAAACTGTTCTTAAGCATTTAGCTTTATTTTAAGGAGGGTAAACCTATGCAGAAGGGTGATGCATATTATCAAGGTATAAATGTTTTTCATAAAGGTTTTATTATCCCTATCCTTCCCCCTAATAAGAGAAGTGGAAACCAAGACCCAAAGGATGTGCATCTATTTGCCTATCTACTATCAACTGCCTCACATTTCCTTTATTGAAATTCCATTCTTTCTTGAGTAGGAGGCTCCGTTTACAGCTAAAGGTGCAATGTGACAGTCAATTCAATGAATAAGGCTTAGCGTCTTAAATTTTTTGTTTTTTTCTAATACAAAAAATTCTGGGATAAATCCTTTATACCCCCCACCCCATTTCTTCCTGCCTAAAAAAGTAAATCATGGGGCTGGGATTTAGCTCAATCATGTCACTGCTTGCCTCATAAGCACAAGAACCCAAGTTTGATCCCCGGTACCAAAACATAAAAATAAAGTAAAATTTAAAAAGTAAATCATTGCAAGTTAGAGGGCTCATCTTTATGAGCATGCAGAAAGCCACTTCTAATGGAAAAATCAAACAAACAGTCTCCTTCTTGATGTCACTAAATAACCTTTTGGACATCCTGTTAGGTGAGAAAGAGAAGCCCTCTTACTTGTTGAACAACTGTAATCAGATTTACTTTCTGTGAAGCTAAATGCAATCCAAAGTGATACAGACATAGGCAATGACAAGGCAGTATCAAAAACAAGGTTTCAATGTGTCAAGCTCTGAATTTAACCTTTATAAGCTAGTTTCTTAAATATAAAGTCACTACAATTCTTATTTTACATCCTTTCCAGAATTATTTTAAGAATCTAAGAATGAATGACAATGCACTTTAGAAATTGAAAATACTAAACGATTGCAAAGAACTAGTAAGGAAGGAGTGGCTAGCTCTTACAGGAGCTATGAAGTTTTCCTGACAGGAAATGCTAAGCCCATTTTTTCATATACAACAAAAGATAATATCAAAGGCTTTTCTTGTCATGTATTTATCAAAAGGTTCAAATGAAATAACATTAAATATACTGCGAATTACTAAGCACTACACAAATGCTGAGAATTTTAGCACCGCTATTGTGAAAGTGTTGTGATATGTTTATTTACATAAAATTCCTGGGGTTGAATCTGCCACTAATTTAGCTATATGACCTGGAAGAATGTACTGAATTTCTGACTCTCCCTTTCACATCTCCAAGTGGCACTACTAATTTAAGTAATGATATCCCTCTGTTCTGTGCTATACTAAGTGCAGAGTACTGATAAGTTGGATTCTAGTATCTACTTTTCCCATTTTCCTTGAGTGAGAGAATCCTTGAACTTTTGCTTGATGGCCACTGAAAATAAACACTACACAGCCTTCTTTGTGACTTGTTTTAGCTATGACATGAGCAACGTGAGTGGGAGGTGGGAAGTGATGCATGCAAGCTACAGGTCAAATCCTTAATGGGACATGACATCCACTTTTACTCTCCACTGGTGGCACATAGAAGGAAGAATGAGCTACTATGCTCATTCATGCCCAGAAGGGCAGTAAGTATTATGAGAGCAAAGCAGTAGGGACAAGCCTGCATGTCTAGTATCAAGGAGCTACCATGGTAGCCCTGGACTGCTTACACGTAAGCTAAAAAACTACTGTTCAACTTTCTATATTGTGGTACATCCCACAGCAACGTAAATTAACGGCCTAACCTGTATCTAATTCAGTAAGGGTTAAAGGAAATGTGTAAAAGCACTCCATAAACCATAAAAAATTATATAACTAATCTTAAGACACAACAAAGGCATAAACCTTTCACAGCATTCAAACTGTCAAGTGTCAGCATTCAAACTGGTGTGATTTTGAAACACAGAATCAACCCTTAAATATGTTTGGCAGGATCCATGACATAGTTATTTGAAAAAAGCAAATAAGTAATTTTAAAAAGAATTAACTTATCTCTATTTTTTCCCAAAGAATAATTTGTTTTTTTTTTTTTTTTTTTTTTTGAGGGGAGGGTAGTACTGAGGATTGAACCCAGTATAAGCTTCATAATGAGCTATGCCCCCAACCCCTTTATTTTTATTTTATTTTATTTTATTGCAAAATAGGGTCTCCCTAAGTTGCACAGGTTGAACTAATGATCTGTCTCAGCCTCCCAGAGTGCTAGGGGCTGGGATTACAGCACCAGGCCTGGCTTAGACAGTCTTCCGGTGTGGTCAGGTATATCTCTGTAAATAACAGTTGTATGTAATGCCCAGTAAATTAGCTCCCTAAAACCAGCATAACAAGTCCAACACAAACTCAGTGGCTTACAACAAGAAATCCATCTTCTCGGTTCTTAAGGATAGAAGGCTGAAATCAAGGTTTGGCAGTGTTTTCCTCTTGGAAGCTCAAGGCATAATCTATTCCATGCTTCTCTCCTCACTTACGGTGGCAACAAGCAATCTCTGCTTAGTCAAGGGTTTACCCCAGTCTTTGCCTCTACCTCCACACTGTCTTATCCTATCTGCGTCTGTGTCCTTTCTTGTAAGGACTCTCTCATTGTTTTAAGGTCCCACCAAGTATGATCTCTTCTTGATATCTGCCATAACTTTCTGGAGCTTTAGTTTAGTATTTACAGTTCTGGAGATCAAATCTAGAGCTTTGCATATGCTAGGTAAGCCTTCTATCACAGGGCTACATCCCCAGTCCTCTGATTATTACAGACTGAATTTTGTCTCTCTCCCAAATTATGAAGAAGTTCTAGGTCCCAGCACTTCAGTATTTGATATTTAGAAATAGGGTCACTGGAGATAAAATTAGTTAAGACAAAGTCATACTGGTATAGGGTGGGCCCCTAATCCAACCCAGTGTCCTTATAAGAAAAAGTAGAGATACAGAGATATAAACACAGTGAGAATGCCATGGAAAAGGAAGGCAGAGATTGGAGTGTCGTGTTTACAAGTCAAAGAACTTCATGGACTGGTAAAACAACAAACTGAGAGTAAAACAGAAGAATTGTCTCTTAAAGATTTCCGGGCAAGGAGGGCTCTGCCAACACCTTGATTTTCAATCTCTAGGCCTCAAAACTGAAAGATTTATTATTGCTTTAGATACAGAGTCTGTGATTTCTAATAATAGCAGTCCTAGTAAACAAATACAGGATGGGTTTAGATCCAAAAAGTCCCTCAACAGCCTCATATGTTCAGACGTGGGACTTCTGGAAAGTAAATGGATCACAGAGGTGTTATACTCATCAGATTAATCCAGGAATGAGTTCATTGCTGAATGTGCCCTTAGTAGGTGGGGCCTGTTTGGAGTGGGTGGGTCACTGGGGGCTGTGTTTTTATTTTGGCTCCTCCTTTTCTCTCTGCTTCCGGGCTGCCATGGTTGAGCAGCTTTCCTCTGTCATGCCACTTCTGTCTTGGAGCCAGCCTACCACGGACTGAACACTTGAAAACTATAAGTCAAAATCAACCTCTCCTCCTTTAAATTGTGGAAGTCAGGTATTTTGTCCTGGTGATAGGAAAGAGACTAATACAGGTGTGGATATGAAATTGAGGAGGACATCATGTACTACGCTATCCCTAGTCATTAGGACTGTTTTCAATACTAGTAGAGTGGATACTGTTACTATCAAGAACTCTGTTTTCTTAGAGAAGAATGGAATCAAAGGATCATACTTTATATAGAGTGTGTTGATAGGAGTTACCAACGAAAAATATGGTAATTCTCTTCAGGCTGTCAGCCTGCTTACACTATTTCCTTCCCTTTTCTACCATGATGAACTTGTAATCATAATTTATGCCAGCATTGTTATTGGATGAACAGTCTCTGTGGTTAACTGCAGTGTAATGTCTACAGTGGTATAAATATACTAATCTAAACTCACTGGCCCTGGTAAGGATATAGTTCCTAAGATAATGTGAAGCTCTCTGGGTTGGCCTTCATACCCTTTACTTCCAACGAGGACATCACTGATCTGCTCTGCCATCCATAGGAAGCTAACACATATGACCACATCATGATGGTAGGCAAGCAAGGGTCTGAAAGACATTCAGGGCCAAAGATTAATCTACCTCCTGAGACTTTCAAAGTGACACCTACTCACTGTTTTTGAGGTCAAGGTGACTTTGCGCTTAAGCACCACAGTATCACGCTCCCAGAATGACAACAGATTTGGCTAAAGCAACTATAAGTAGACCTCAGAACCCACATACCAGCAACAGCATGAGAAAAAAAGAGAACACCACAGCTGTTGGAGAAAGTATGTGCTCAATGGGATCCACCAGAGACTGAGAATCTCACTTCTACTGAACAATATCTATCCCCTGAGGAGGGCTTTAAAAAGCCATGCTCTGTCATATATTATCTGTATAAAACATAAAATCCTCACTGTATCCAATGAAGGGTTATTACACCCCCAGGGCAGAAGACACACTTCAATAATACTGAGCTACAGGTGAGATTCTAACATAAAGGTTAAGTATTACAAACAGTTCAATAATATTAACTCTTGAAAATTCTCATGTTTCATACCTGTATATTCAGAAAATGGCTTATGTATAACTCCTAGCACAGGTTTACCATTTACAGCCACACATACCATAGTTGTAACATACTGTCGAAGATCCTCTATGAGAAAAAAAAAAATACACAATTGTCAAGGTACTATGCATAAATTCTGAATGCAAGAATCTGTCTTATTTCATTAAAGTTTCATGTACAACAAAAGTGTTCCAAAGACAATAATTTCTTCAAACAAAGTCTAAAGATAAAAGCCAGCTATAGAGGGTAGGTAAGAGTTCTGGTTCTACAAGCAAATTATCTGAGTTATTTTCCCAACCCACGTCTTTATTAGCAGCATGTCTTTGGAAAAATCACTTAAATTCAGTTTCCCCATCTGTGTAACACAGATAATAAGTAGCCATCTTGAGATATAAATTAAGTTTTAATTTTAGTATTAAATTTTAAAATCAACCTAGTTGGTTTAAATAGCTCCTATACAAGAGATGTGTTTACTAAATATTATCAGTATTATGTTTTCAGGCCACTTCAGTTTAGGAAACTTATATGCTTTCTCCTCAACATTCCATATTTCAACTGCCTACTTGTGCAAAGTACTGTTTTATAATTTCAGTTAACATGAGATATATAATTACTGCTTTCTCCCCGTTCTCCAGGTAGTTATCTATTGAATATCTAGGTTCAAGGTCAGTTCATAAGCTTTAGAATATAAGTAATAAAGTGGAGGCCCCCGCGTATAGGAAATGTACCACCAGTAGGACAAACAGATAAATAACTAATTTTAACATTTATAACAAGAGAGAAAGCAGGAGTTAGGCTACCTCTAGGTAAAAACAATGCCTGAGAAAGGATCCAGAGAAATAAATCTTGAGCTAGGAATAAGTAAAAGGAATGGAAATGGTAGGAAGGGCAGTAATTGTTTCACTACATACCATTTTGAATTTCAAGGTCAGATAGAAACACAGAAAGAAAGAAATTCCCAATATCCCAAGAAGCTACTATATTCTGATGTTTAACATACACTTTTAGTGAAGAATCAGTGTGTTACTGATTTTGAATAGCTACTTCACCTGGAGGAGGACGCTAAAATAAAGGGATCTTGGACCAAAAAAAAAGAAAGTTGAATACAGTTGATTCAGTCCAAATGTTTAAGGTATGTTATATTAACCTTTTATCTTAAAATCTAATTGGAAAAGTCCTTATATCTGTCAAATATCTAACATCATATATGTACCACCTATTTTGGTTCTAGTTCTTTAATATAAAATGGCAATCTAAAGTTTGAGGTACATTTTTAAATTACCTGTATACTCCTGTGTAGCATCAAGTGGATCAATCCAGACAGTAACACTCTCTGCAGGGACCTCTTTAGGGGTGGTTATTTCCTTCATGATATCCTCAGGAATCTTATGATCCCATAATATAACCTCCTTATCAGTTGTATCCACATGTTCCTCAGTATTTATCTACACAAAAAATACATGAAAAAAGAAGTAAAACATTACTCTTTAATAAAAGATACAAAACAGCATTTCAGACAAAAATCACATAAATTGTTAGTATAAACCCTTATTTTTATTTCAAGGCATTCAATGCAAAATGAAAATATGTTCTAATGCAAATATTGGTGACATCTGGTCTTCATATTGAGTTTTAGTTTTTTGGTTAATCAAAACTAAGAATTCAAATACAGAAAAACACAAAGAAAGTAAACATCAAGCAAAGAAGCTACTTAAATCTTAATGATAGCATTTGAAAAATAATAGGTATAGCTACAAAATATGAAAATAAATAATACTGTGAAATACTGAACAGAAAGAACTATACAAGTTAGAAACAAAGAGGAGAAAAGTGATAATATACTTTAAAGAGCAGTAACTATAAAAATAGGGAATTATGAATGCTAAAAGATACCATGTCTTAGAAAAGTGATCATCTAAAATATATCTTTCGCCAGTAAGAAAAAAAGGAACCTGGAAATTATGAAGCAAGTATTAAGAAAGTTAATGCTGAAATAAGCAATCTAAAGGTACATAACAAATGATCAGTCATGCTCGCTTCAGCAGCACATATACTAAAACTGGAATAATACAGAGAAGATTAGCATGGGCCCTGCACAAGGAAGACACACAAATTTGTGAAGTGTTCCATATTTTTTTGTGCTCGCTTTGGCATCACATTAACAAATGATCAGTCTTCTTTTCACTACATACCAAAGATGTGTCATAGAACAAAGATGTAAAACCAACTTTTCTATTTTTTTTATTAGGGAACAAAATTAAAATACAAACCAGATTTACCATATAGATAAGGGTGTGAAGTAAGGAGAGTATATACACACACGGATACACATGTACATACATATGTGTGTATGGATAAACATTTTAGAGCTATTATTTTTCATAAACCATTATATATGTATATATGTAGTATTACATATGATAATAAGAGAATAAAGTATAGCTTCTTTTAAACCGGCATTTTTAAACCTTGGCGGTTTGGATTTGGGCTGACTTATTTTTTGTTGTGGGACTACCCTGTGTGTTGTAGGATATTCAAAAGCATCCCTGGCTAGATGTTGTTAAATACCTACAATGTAGAAACCACTAGACTGGCATCAGCACCACCACTCCTCAGTTCTGACAACCAAAAATGTTTCTACATTATGCCAAGCCTGTCCCCAGCCCATCCTATGTAGAGAACCACTGCTTTAAATTATGAACTTATTAATGTATATTTAAAATACAGTCTCATTTGCAAATTAGTGACTTTAAAATGTTTTAAAACTGCATTGATCTTTGGAAATTAGGATACACTAATGAAGTAAATTTAGCACAATAATTTTAAGAATTAAAAAAAATGTCAACCATAGTCAAATACTGGCTCAATCAGAAGGCTTTTTTTTTTTTTTTCAAATGATAATATATACATGCAAGAAAAATGCTCCTCAACTACAGGTTTTAGTCAGAGACTAATATCCTAAGCAGCACAGCCTCTTGGTCCTGTGCTTCTTGACACAGTCCTTTTCCAGAGCAGAACATCATGTTTATACTGCATATGATGCCTTATCTGGACCCCAAGCTATAGTGCTGGAGTGATTACGACACCGAAAACACATGTTTGAAAGCCACCAGCAGGATGAAAACCCCAAATCTATCAGCAATGTCTGGATGGTATTTTGAAAGCTCCCAAACTGACCCAGAAGTTAAAAGTACAGTATTTCAGAAATACCAAGCCACTTAAATCATAAAATGTTTCTTACTACAGATTATAGTAAACTTTCAATTCATCTATGTGAACTTATTAGTTCAGCAAATGTCTATTGTTCACCAGCCATATGTCAGTTTCAGAATCTAAATTTAAAGCAGTCATGAATATGAGACAAAAATCTCTGGCCCATGAAGCTCAGATTCCAGTGGTAATAAACAATAAACAAGTATATAAGTAAATGCGTAGTTTGTTATGTAATATGACATGTAATATGCTGCATAATAAAGAAGAGAAAATAAAGTAGATATGGATACCCACTGTGTTGCTGGATTGTAGAGAAAGAGATACTCTTTAAGACAGGGTAACTAGGTTTACTCAAAGCCCAAAATTGGAAACTATCTAATATCCATCAACTAATAAATGAATAAACTCATTATGATATATTCACATAATAGAAAGTTACTCAGCCATAAATAGGCTGAATAGGAAAGAAGTATTGATTCACGCTAGAGCACAGATGAGGACCTCCGCTTTGTCAAAGAAAAAAGGTACAGGAGACCATATATTATATGATTCCATTAATGTAAAATGTCCAGAATAAGCATAGGGAAGGGGTATGGGAAAAAAGATTTTAGCAGTACATGGGCATCAGGATATTAGGGTCGTGAAAATGTTCTAAAATGGAGTAAATGATATGAACTACAAAAACTACTAAAGATTAGTGAATTAAATTGAAATGGCCAAATCATATAAAATATGCTGCAATAAAGTTGTTTTAAAGAATGGAGTAGTTGGTTGGAAAGCCCTCGCTGAAAAGGTTGCATCCGAGTGAAGATCTGCAAGGGACCCTGGCAGCCATCTAAGGGAAAGCACATTCCAGCCTAAAGAGTAACAAATGCAAAGACCCTGCTTTGGGAGTATATGACCAGTGTGTTCACAGGCAGCTAGGAGGCAGTCTTGGCTGGAGCAGTCAGCCAAGGAGAAAGGCATTGGATTTAAGGGCACAGTAATGGAAGCCAGATGGTAAAAGGTCCTACAGGCCACAACACACTGGCAGTTGCCTTCCATCATAACCTCTACTAACAATGTGCAGAGGGTCCTAAAAACTGCATAAGGTCAAAGGGGTTAGGGGAGGGATGTGGGACATACAAAAAATACAAAGAAGTAATCAAAACCAAAATACATAGTTGATGACTGAGCACTGAGAAAAATACAAAAGAACTATTGGAAGATAAAGTATAAAACTAAGAACAAAGTCACCAGTTTAAATATGTATCAACTCCATTTTTACATACCAGCAAAAAAATGTAAGTTTAAAAAATCTGGAAATAAATCTAAGTAAGATATAGGGAGACAAACTTCTTTATAAGCCATTAACAAAAACTATATAAAAGAAATTTCATTTTAATGGAAAGACTAAAAGACATCAATTCTCCCATAAGTAAACTATACATCTGATGTAACTCCAAACTACTTACGTCTGTTGTTCTTGTTTTTTCAAAAACTTCTCCTTAGAAATTGGACAAATAATTTCTGAAATGTATAGGCTAAAACAAAGAGCCAGAAAAAGCCACATTTTCAAGAGACGGAAAAACAAAAGAATATCACAGTGTGGTAACTTCCCCTGTGAAATATCAAGTGTTACTTTAATGCTAGAATAATTAAGACAGGGTGACACTAATGAAGTATTTTCTCTTCCAAGCCCACCCGCTTAACAATGTTAGGCTATGTTAAGTCAATAAATGCAGTAATAATACCATGCAAAAAGAAATAAACTCTAAAATAAATAACTTCCAAAAAAGCTAAAGTACTTCATGGGGTTTGACCACTGTAGTTTAGAAAAAGATAGCACCGCATCTGACAACTACCGAGCCTTATACTGAGATTTCTGTTCAAATCAGCTTCTCCATATACTGTCAACGGAATATGAGCTAAGACATTATAGAATTTATTTGAATAGATCTTGGGACAGTTAAGCTGGACAGTCAACTTGCTTGGGATCTGCCCAGGGGATCAGGAAATTATAGTTCTGGGTGTGTGTGGGAAGGTCATGGAAGTATGACCTTGGGGTCTATATCCAGTTCCTCTTCTTTTCCTCTCTTGACACTTTTCCCTTGCTGCCATAAACGAGGAGCTTCACTCCACTCTGCCTCTTCACCATGATGTTCCTGACTTGAGGCCAGCCAACCAAGGACTGGATCCTCTGAAGCTATTAAGTCAAATAAATACCTCTCCTCCTTTAAGTTTTCACATATTTCCAATGAGAATCAAGTCAGGGAGAAATAAACCAAGCAAGAAATTAAGAACTTAGCACAATTACTCAATTCATTTTTGCATTATTCCTTTTTATAACATGGTACTAACACTACAAGCCTACCAACTAAAAAATAAATCCACTATCCCCCATTGCAAACAGCCCCAATTTAATAAATCTACATCTACCATATAAACAGCCTTATAAACAGTTGCTGAGGTAAAAACCTGGAAGTCTTCCTTAATCCTTTCCCACATCTGCTCAGGAAGTAATCAAAATTCTACCTTCCAGTTTTAAGGATATATCACCATGTGTACCAAGAACATGCTAGTTTAAGCCACAAGGATTTTTTTCTTCCCTGAAATCCTATTATAGCCTTTGATTATTATTGCATCCTGTAATCATTCATTCAACAATTTAATGACTACTATAATCTAATCTAAACCAGTGATGACAAACTTTTTAGAGCTTTCAATGACACAAACTAATGACTATAGCACATGTGCCACAGGTTTGCCACCACTACTCTAAACTGTTTTGGGCATTGGGATAGAGTAACACAACAGACAAAGTCTCATTGCCTTTACACAGCTTCCTTTTTCTACCAAGCAACAGGTTATTTTCCTAAAGCAGACTGTCATTCTCAGCTAAATGAGCATCATGTAGAACAGTAATTTAAGAAAAAAACTGTTTGATCATAGATTGTTTGAGTTCTAATTCCAACCTCTAAATTGATTGGGTATATAACCAACTTAGACTAGTAAACTAACCTATTTGTTGCAATTTCCTCACTGGTAGAAGGCTTTTTAAGAAGAATCAATAAAATCAAAAAGGTAAAACCAACTCAGTACAGTTTGAGCTACAATTTATCTAGCTGCAAAATGGTGGCTATATGGTAACATATGGTTACCCAGGTACACTCAGGGCCTGCTACTTGCTAAAGGCTTAATAAATTTTAACTACTAAAATAAGCCAACCAATAATTTCGCACCACCTGTCTCATCTCTCACGTGGTCTAAAGTCTTCTCATTGTTCTCATCTAGCTCCAAATGCCCAAAGCCTAAAGTAGGACACAACCTGGGACTCAATAATCCAAAGCTTTCCTTTAGTACTCTGGTGTTAAACTAAAGGTCAGATCTACACTCCTTTGAGCTTGGAATATGACATAGCCTAGACCTTCCTTTCTAATCTCTTCCACATTAATTCTCCCAAATGTATCATATTCAAGCTCATCAGATTTCTTGAATCTGCTGAGCTACCACCTCTCTTGGCCCTGCTGCTTTAAACTACTTTTTTCTACCTGCTGTGTTTTTGTCTGTACCAATTACAGTGGTACCTCAGTTTATGAAATAAATTTTACAGTTCTGGGGAACATGGCTTTTTGGGAACAAGGAGTTTGTGAATGGAAGCAAAATTTTGCTGAATATTTTTCTTTGTTTGCAAACATAAGTGTTTGTGAACCAAGGTATTACAGTACTAGTTATCTTAATTTTAAGAAGAAGAAACCTTGGTTCAAAGAAGTTAAATGAATGGCCAAAATCACCTAGGCTGGTGGCTAGGTAGACTGGCAAAAGCAAAATATTCTCTATGCTATATTAATGTTTCTCAGACTTTTCCAGTGAGAACTTCCATTAGAGACCAGTATATCTTCATTCTACAGGTCAAGAAATGCAAGTATCCAACCTGCTGCCGCCAGCTTGGAGTACTATGCTTCATCTTTAGATATATCACTACCTAAATTTTAAACAAATCAAACTGAGAGGAGAACTTTAAATAAGATTCCCCTGTATAATACATTAAATTGGAGACCATGTCACAGCACAGCTGAAGTTACTATTACTATTACATAATGAAATCAAGGATTTAGGAAGAGGAATACAGCTACACTGACAACTCTCCCAAGATCTTCTGAGGAAAGCTGAAGGCAAAAAGAGGAGCATCAATTTTAAACCAAACATGAATTATGCTGGCTCACGACACACTTCTCTGAAGTATGGTTCATCAATTTAGGCAATGACTGACAAACTGGGCCACGAAATCCTTTCTTTTTTTTTTTTTTTTTTTTAACAGGGATCTAACATATAATCCTTTCTTACAGTGAGAGAGTCTTATACACTGTAAGATGTTTACCCCTTATATATTTAGTTGTCAGTAATACTCTATCCCTGGTTGTGAAAAAGAAAAATTCACAAATGTCCCTTTAGGGGCCAAACTATCCCCAGTTGAGTGAGTGTCTAGAATGACTAAAGGTATATTTTTTTACTAAAAAGGGAAAACTAAATAGAAAAGCTCAGATCTCAGACCCCAGACAAGAAAGTACTTACAGAAGTGTGCCCCCCAAAAGAGTATTTTTGGCTTCTCAGTGGTTACTTTCCATTGGGAAAGAAACTGGAAGGGTGATACCATAACTTAAGATTTCTTACCAAAACATTTTGCGTGAGGCTTAAAAAACAAGCATACATTTAAAACTACTTCTAGATATTTAGGGGTAAGAAAAGATAAGAAAAAAATCTAAGGCTGAATCTGTATTTTTCACATGGCAGAACACTTGGCATTTGGTCTAATAAAACAGGCATAAAAGGAAGTAACTGTACCTGACACCAGCCCTAATATGACACTGTATAAATGAACACAACCTCTTCTGTTCCACCAATCAACACCTAACCTGAAAAATAAAGATGTGTAGGCAATCATTCAGCCACACACACACACACACAAAAAAAGTTATTTTCTAATAAGGCAGAGTCGTATCTGTGAATCTAATTTAGCTTCTGTGTTTAATACAATGCTTCTCACTACTCTTGGAAGCTAATTCCTTTATTATTTGCTAACAAATGAAAATGTAGATATGTCTTCAATACTTAAGATACTTTTGATTTTACTTTTTTAAAAAAATTCCAATTCTCCTTCACTATTATTGCCATTGAGCTTAAGATTCCATAGTTGTACATTTTTTCCCTAAAAAAAGTCATATTAGTTTTAAGAGCCTCTTAAGGTCTAGCTAAAATGAAGAGTTAGATAGTTCACACAAGCTGTGAAGTTTCATGAGACTGAGATTTCCATCTGTAAAGGAGGCAAAAATTAAAATTTACTTCTAAAAGATGCTGTATCAAATGAAGTCCTATGTGGCTAGTACTTGGGCACCCTGAAGACAGTCAAAAAGTGGTTACTATAAATACTGTTATAATAACCACACATCAACTTCTCTGGAACTGTTTCTTCTATAAGCCCTCAGGAAAGCACATGTGTTTTGAAGAAGACAGATATTTCATAAGCATTTCTTACATCTAAGTGCAAACAAAGGTATTATGTGTGATGCTAAAGGTAGAGCAAAAGTGAAAATATTCAATGTTTTCAGTAGACATTTGAAAAAATTCTTCTATTGTCAACTATCTAGTACCCACAGCCCATGACATGAAATCCAAAGTTTCAGGGGAAAAAAGTAAAGATAAAGACAGAAAGAATGGAGGGAGGAAAGGAAGGAAAAAAGAGGGAGGAGAGGTGAAAGGGAAAGGGGACAGAAGAAAGAGGAGGACAGAGGAAAAGGAAAGGAAAAGAGAGAGGCTAGAAGACTTGAAGCAAAGTTACATAAGTTACACAATTTTACAATGACAATATTTGTCTTCTAAAAACAATAGTAAAAAGTTAGAAATCTCCCAGAAACCTGGGTTTAATTGTCACTATTTATCTAATTAACAAAATTCCACTGGAAAAACTCTTTCTAGTTGCCAAAGCCTACTGTTAGATGAGAAAGATTAGTAAGATATTGTTCCACTATGTTGAGCTCTCCCTCTGGAACTACAATAAATTCAAAAGAGCTTTACAGTATATTCAAATTTAACATCAGTTCCAATGAAAGGATGAATTCCAAAAGTATTAATAACAAACCCAAAATGTCTGGATTTCCGTGAGAAAATGTCAGCTCCTCCAGAAATCTACCCAAAGAAAAGGTAAAGGTTACTAAATTCTTATTCTCTGGGGTAAATACGGACCTTCAATCAAGCGTTACGTAGGTTACACCGCTAAAATGAAGTTGCTGGCAAGCATATTTCCAAATATTTCCTTGAAGGGCCCCAAACTATATGTCACTAAGGGCTTAACTACAGCGGAACAAATTTATGAGCACAGCCCCCGTTCCTCAATGCCCTGCACATTAACAGATCTGCAACAGATTTCTGGCAGAAAATGTGTACTCTCCAATCACGAACCTTCCAGTAATGAAATGGAAGAACAGAGGCCTGAGGGGTTCTAAGCCCAATTGTTTTCATTTCCAGAGGAACACGGAGGAGCCCTGCAATTCACTTTCTCAGCCTTTTGTTACCTACGCTAGCTCACTCGCTCACTCAGAACGCAGGTCTCCTAATCCTGGGTACATTTAACACACTCACAAGAGGCAAGAGGCCACCAGGTCAGCAGCTCTGCTCATTTGGCCCTTCCCAGAACTGTTCGTATGCCCTTGCGGTACTTTGAGGAGTCTCAATTTTACCATCTGCAAAATGGGGGCAGAGGCTCCACGACCTGGACCTCCAGGAGGCCTCGCGCAGAGACTCCTTCCCGGGCTCCCCCCGTCGCGGGACCCACCTGGACGCTGGGGAAGGCCGTCTTGAGCAGGTAGAACATCTTCCGGTTGGACAGCACGTCGCCGCTGGTCATCTTGTCGTCCGCTCCCTCGCGCGTCTTCCCCTTGGACTTCTCGTGGAGGACGTTGCTCTCGCGGACGCGCCTCACCTCTTCGCCGCCACGGACGGCCGCCAGCACCGACACGGCCAGCATCTCGCGCAGGTC